TGAGTCCAATCATTAACTTAGTACTGCCAAGCCCACCACTAGGCCACGTCCCTACGCAACACATCTACGAGTCTTTTAAATACCACTTCCCTGGGAAGGCTCTTATGCCTCATTTCATGTTACTTCTGACCAGGAGGGTTCCCACATCACTAAGGAAATTGCTGGCCTCAACAGGCTAAGCTTTGATCTCCTTTTTATGCCAAACATGACTGCTATGAACTCAGTAGTAACAAAGATTTCCTGGTTTTGGTAGAGGAAATAGGTTAAACATGAATGCAAAAATAAAAGATTTTTAAAGCAGCTGTCCTGCGAGAGAGTCAGATCTGAATGCCACCTAGAATGGTGCAGACTTCTCAAAGCCTTCTGTCAGTGAAAGGGACTGGATACAGGACTTGTTAGAACAATAGCACTCATCTTCAAAAGAATATGATAACAGCTTTTGTATTTCTGCATTTGTACATCTTTTACATAGCAGCTGCACAGTTTGCTGACAATGTTTCAATGACCTCACTTCTATGAATGCAGCATGAGGATCAAGCCAAGGCAAGATGCTGAATGAAGAGCTGTCATCTAAAACCACTGATAAGAGCATACCATCCTGAGAATGGAATATGAGCTTTTTTCCTCATGAAAATTGCCCTGCTACTCCTACCAAAACCTGAGCTCAAGTTATACCATCTAACTCTCAACTGCAAAGAAGTGTAAAAGCCAATTATTGCTCTTTATTTGCAGTTTAACTGCTATTTTACTGGCACTTGAACACACTAGATTAGAGTGAAAAGCTCTCCCTTAGCTAACTGAAATAGCTTGATGTAACTTTAAAGCCGGAAGGGGCTTGCCAGAAGAATGGCCACTTGCGTGTGGGAATCTGTGAACTGAAAGGAGTGATCTAAGCTTTCAAAACCACAACCCATGGATAAATAATTTCTTCATACAGCTGGAAGAGCCAGTCTCTCTTAAAGTAGACCTTCTGTATTAGTACTGAGGCAGAATGCCTTGAAGCAAGCTCTCACTTCATGCCACCATGCAAAGAGTTCTCAAATGAAATACTGGAATTTCAGCACTTGCCCCAGAGACCTTCAAACACAAAAGACTGTTCTCAGAGGATCCTTCAGAATTTGGTTGCTCACTGCTCTTTTAAAGTCATGCCACATCTATAGCCTAGGTTTAGCTCACAAGCCTCTACCAGGTAACAAAACACAACTATTTCTTTCTAAAGAACTTCTTTCTAAAAGAAGAAATAGTTTATTCTAAAAGAAACTGACCATAAAAAACCTTTTCTGATATTGATTGTAAAAAAAACCCAAGTAACCAAAAAAGTCATCCAAGCTGATACTGACAGTAAACCATTCAAAAATAGGTGAACATTTACACTTTTATGGACGTTTTCAAAACAGAGCACGTGTATGCACTCTTGCAGATGATACATTTAGGATACTATCTGCTATGAAATGATTTTCTTTGAGAACATATTAAAATAGAAGGGCTGAAAATTTTATAGCAAATGTTTAGCTAAATTCCAGTGGACTCCAATATTGTCTTCTGAACTAGGAAACAGATAAAGCTAGGAATCTACTTCTACACCTTCCTTCCCCCTCAAAAGGATAATTTTGAGCTCATGGAATCCAAAAACTCATATTGGGAAAGTGTTTAGGGGAGGACCTCCTTCATACAGACCACACAAACTAAAATTCATACTTTGGGCTTCCTAACACAAGAACAGCAACACAAACTCTGCAACTTCCTCTTCAATCTAGAATCAGGGCAATACAGATTCCTATCCCTCTGTCCCTTCTGCATAAAGAATGTATTCATTGCACACCTTAGCCAAACATGTATTTCTAATCTAATTAATTGCTACACTGCATGTGCCAGCAATCTAGAGGTGCCTACTGGGAAAGTCCATCCAATGTTACAAACCAAATCCCACGGCAGAATGACCCAAGGAAAACACCAGGTCACCTCCTTGCCTCTATACAAGGCCCTCTTCCACCCTCAAATTTTTCTCCAATATCTCACAGCATAACAGTGACCTGAAGTACGAAATCACTGAGTGAATCACAGAAATCAGATAATTCCATATACTAATGGTGACAGAGATGCCCAGTGCACTGCAGAGACAAAAAATATTTCCTAGCAACGGGGACATTTAAAACTTGCCTATTAACTAACTCTTCTTTTCACTTTCCTCCCATCCCTTTTTCTTTTAAATAAAGAAACAGAACTGTAAATATGTTTGTCAAAAAGGAATGGAAGTCAAAAGCCAAATTAGGTCTTGGAATCAAATTTCCATTGAAACGTGATTTCATCTCACTTTCAAAATTTCGGATTTTTGGTTTTTGTGGGGTGTTTTTTGTTGTTGTTTTTTGGTGTTTTGGGGTTTTTTGGGGGTTTTTTTTGTTTGTTTTTTTGGTGGTTTGTTTTGGTTTTTCTTTGCATTCCAAGTTAATTTCTATTTGGATATATGGAGAGAGCTCTTTTATCCACAAGTCAACATGACATTACTAGCAAACACAAACATGCAAGCCAGCAAAGCAGAATTTTTAAGACACTTGTAATATCAATAATACCAGAGTGACACTCTTTGCTCTGGCATACTAAAGAAGAAGAAACTGGCAAAGAAAATGGAGTTGTGTACTTCTCAATAAAATCAACACTTCTGTCAGGAACAGGATGCCAAAGTGCACATTAGTAACAGCTGTCAAGTACACACTCTAGGAAAGAAGGACCTGTGAATTCAGTTTGGTACAACAGTACTATCAAGAAGCAGTTTCACAAGGTGTTATGTCTTTCCTATGTCTGAACAAAGTAGTCTCTCCTAAAAGAAGTCAAGCAGAAGAAAAATCTGATCAGAACTTTATGTAATGAAACAATCCAACTTGGAAGCTATCAATGTCTTATTTATTCTCACATTTACATATTAGATGGAAATTTAAAATAAATTCTCCTATTTTTTCCTTCCTTAGGCAAGCAAATTTAACTGTTCCACTACATGTCTTTATTTCAGCAAGAAAGAAAGATTTCCCCATCAACATAGCCCTCAAAAAACATCACTGACTTCCACTTGTATCCCCAGACTAGGGATAGGGAGAAGTAGTAAGGGCAGCCCTACAATGTTTTCTCATGTTGTTTCTATGCAATATCATTGATGATTTTCTAGGTGTATGCACATACAACAATACATGTACACACACACAAGCAAATGTACACACACTCCTCCCTTCCTGCCCGTGCCTTACACAGTGCTTACTTTGCACAGGGAAAAGGAGATTATTATTTGAAACAAACTCTCAACTCTATGACACTGAAACTACCAAGTATTAGCCCAAGTACATCAGTCCCCCCCAGACACAGCGATAAATTCATTACAGACACAACCCAAGAAAGGCACCTTCATAAACAGAATAAGGTAGTTGGCATTCAGGACATACAGTAAAGCAAGTTTCCAAAATAAAGTTCTGTATTAAATGTAAGAATTACATAAGCCTGAATAATTCCACATTACCTAAACACATGAGGATGTGATCATAAAGGTATTAAAACTACTGAAAAAACTTTACAATACATCTTAAAAGGGCCTTTTTGGGCTTTTTTTTAATAATGCTTCTACATTTTCTCTTTACAAATTCTGTACCTTTGAAAATGAAGGAGCTCTTTCATTGAAAGTATTTTTTTCTTCAAGCTTTTTCCAAATCAAAAAGAGCCTAAGAAAATATTTCAAATGTTTTATAATTCAAATTTGAAAAAAAGTCTAATTAGATGCTTTATACATTATTTTAACATTGGCTTTATCCCAACATAAACAACTGTATATGCCTTGTATATGACAGAAAATATAGAAAATATTTTGTAGTCACATGCACTATTTTGATCACTCAAAAATACAACAAAGCTTAGTTTTTCCACTTGATTCTAGATTTGAGAGAAGAAAAAAGAAGCTTTTTTATACAACAATAACTTTCAGTCAACAGACATCACTTTTTCAGACCATAAGACAAGATAAAATATAGCTACACTATCTGACAATCCTTTGCCTTATGGCTTTTCTGTAGAGTTGTATTAAAACCATTTCCATGAAAGAATTGATGTAATCTCTAGAGAGGGTGCCCATGTTCAGTGTGGGCTGAAGCTACTTAAACTCTAGTGTACACTTTATCAGTAAGTAGAGATATATTTCAAAAACTTATTTCAGCAATACATTCTGCCTTTTTCTACTGTGAAATGTTGACAAAAGCCTTCTATGTTGCCAGGATAGAAAGCTTTTTTGAATAAGCTGAAAGTTTTCTAAGTGAGACATGAAAACATGAATGAGTGGAGGTAATTTTAATGCTTTTTAGTATTAACCATCCTATGAGTGTCACAGAGATTCCTATTTCACAGTGCTGGGTTTCACTCTAGCTGCTTACAGGTAATTGTACACATCATAGATGCTGCTTGGTTTATATTTGAAAATACACTGCCCTGCATTTAAATCAAAATCAATAGATTGGTGAAAACTAAAGAGCTATTTCATATTTATTAAACATTTCAACTACATTTGAAGTTCCAAAGAGGAGAAAGAGGTCACACTTTCTCTTATCAGTAAATCTAGCACCCCCCTCCCCCATGCTGTCTCTTAAAATATTATTTTAACTCAGTGTGATATTTGAAAACAAACTGTTTACAGAAGCTCACAAAATCCATTACACATGGGAGATAAACACATCAGTTCTATACACCACAATGGAATACGAAGTCTGCAGAACCTGACACTCAGACCAAAACATTTTGACAAGAAAACCTTTCCAAGAACAGCCCACAGTCTTCACAGGCAACAGACAAATAATACCCAAACACACATATGACCCCCCGACACAGCCTGCCCTTGCATATAACATTTCCAGAATAAACCACTAAACACACATCGGGACACATCACAAAAACTTGCCGACACCACCAAACCTCACTTTCTCTCCCTGGAGCATCCTCTAGGTCTCTTGCAGAGTGAAGAATCAGCTCACCTGCACCGGGGGGGCCCAGCCGTGGGCACAGCCGCACTCTGACCACCACTGCCCGGGGCTGCCCTGGGGCTTGGCCGGGGACTTGGGGGGGCTCCTCCGCACCGCGTCCCACAGAGGCACCAGCCTGCCCCTGCCCTGGCCGCCCGCCGCGGGTGCCCAGCAGGGCAGCGCCTGGGGGCCGTGCGGGAGGCCGGCCGGGTGCTGGTGCCAGCGGCAGGCGCAGCGGGTATCCCTGGCGGCGGGGGGCACATTCCTGCCGCCGTCCGGGCCCTCGGCGCCCCTGCCGCCGCAGCTGTGCTGCCTGGGGAGGTGCCCGTGCATGGCTCGCCCTGCCCGCCGGGCATGGACGCGCTGCCGGCGGCGGGGGCGAGGCCAGCCCGGGGGCACTGCGGGCTAGCGGCGGGGCAGGCCGGGCTAGCGGCGGGGCTGGCCGGGCTAGCGGGCGGGCATGGCGGCGGCCGGGCACGGCGGGGGCCGCTGGCCAGCAGCCCCGTGTCAAAGCCGGACTCCACTCGCGCAGCCACTTGACAGCATCCCCGCTGCAGGCAGAAGCAATCAATGCTCTGCGTGGCTGGGACGCACGCCTGCATCCCTTTCTGGATGACAAACCACGGGAAGGGATGAGGGGAAAAAAAAAAATCCCAACAAGCAACAAAAACTACTCTTGCAATTTTCAGGAAGGTTTAGTCATTTTCTAGCTGACCCTGACACGAGTCACAGGCACCCTGCTGAAGCACATTTATACGTACAAGCTTTACAGGCTAAGTGCTTTCTTGTGGAAATAGCATCTAGACAAAGTACTGAAAAAGATACTCCTTTACCAATGATCCGAACAGACGCGGGAGCGTTGTTTTCCCTGCATGCCTGAAAAGACCTTGTCAACAAAATTGCATCAGAAGATGCAAATGACAAGTCCGGGAAGAATGTTATCTGCCCTAAATGCTAAACCACAGCATGAGCGACGGTATGTGCTAATGTGCACAGGCTAATGCGCACAAACACAGCGGAGAGAGCAAGAGGCTGAATTTAGAAATAAAGCCAAAAAGATCTATGCCACAAATTAACAACTCTCTAGCATCTTATATATTTCATGTGAATATAATTTTGTGTGTGTGTGTGTGTCTAAGTACCTCAAGTTTCTGATTGGTGTGTAATTTTCTCTTCCCTTTTTCACCCCGTAAAAATTCTTTGGTGCTTGCCAATAAACTTCTGTACAGAGTTTTCTGTAAATCCCCTCTTGGGTTTTTCTTCCTAATACCATCTCTTTCGGTTAAAGTATCCTGAATTCTTTCTTTGAGATTATTTTCTTTTATTTCTTCTTATAGAAGTGACGGAAGTGTAAAGTGAATAAATCTGGTCTGAATATTCCAAGCACCTTGAGATTTTTAGGGGTGCTCTCCAAGCTCAGGTACCTCAGTCCTTAGGCCTGTAAGACACTCATTGGATCATGGACTCGTATATGTGTATAATTTTTTTAGATTTTCTTTAAACATAGGCATATTTCAGGTACATTTAACCATAGAAAATAACAAATTAATTTCTAAAAACAAATACAGGAATGCATAACAATACTTTTGGGTCTGTTGGTGTTTAACTAGGATTTCTGTGGTGTTCAACACACAGAAATTAAAAAGAATTAGCAATATATATAGTTTTACTATTAGAAAGTCTAAAAAAATTTACTTTTAAAGAATTCAAAGACAAAGACAACTATGACTATCTGCAAATATGCTTTCAAGTGAGAGAAATGAATTTACAAATGTGTTGATGCAAAAAAAACTTGATTCAGTTATTTAATTCCTCCTACACAGCTAACCTAAAATTCCTCAAAACTTAGACATTGCTAAAATGCATAACAATAAACTTTGGCAGTAATTCTTGAATAAAGAAAAAAAAAATTATGGCAATGCTTTAACAGTGGAGAAAATATTTTGACAACACTGCAGTTCAAATTGCTGCATGTGAAACTCACATCAGTTTTAGCTGTGTTTCCATTCAAGGTGCTTGTCCCAGTTATACTAAACTGATGTGATAATGCAAGGTTTATTCTGAACTCCACTGAACAGCCAAAAACGTGCACCATATACTCTCACATAACAAAAACCCAACTGCAAGAACTCACAGAGCTTGGCACAGAATTCAGGTCACTTCATGTTTGAAAAAGAAATATTAATGCACTTCTGAATTGCAAGCATAGATGTGGAAGCCAGCACTTAAAAACCTGAGCTAAGGGAGTCTACAAGAAAAACATTGCTACATGTAAAGTAAATGTAAAGTTACATAAGCCTGAATCCATCTTTTGCAGTTTTACTCAAGCATAAGAAGTGAAGGTGTGTAAGCTGTCCAGAAAGCTGCTTTCCTCTAGTGCTCAAGGGAAATTCAACCCTGAGCACCTAAAAACTTATCTACCAGAAGGTAACTCAAGTCATTACTGCACCACTTCCAACAGGAATACCTCAATAGAAATATATATATATTGTCATGATGTGAAGCTATAAATCATATTTATAAAACTGTAACATACTTATTTATATACCATATATATATAGAAAACAAAACGCTAATAAAGCCAAATTCAGTTTTTGTTTCCATCATTGTAGACCTCTATTAGCAGTGTCAGTGTCCATCATCTTAAAACCATCAGCCTTTTGGTCACATAGCAAGCTACCTAGTTCACCCCAGACTATCCCAATGCTATTCCAGATTTCTCAAATGCCAGTAAAAATCTAAAAAAAAAGGAAAAAAAGAAGCATTAATAGCTATTTCAAAGCTAATTGGAGGAATCTAGATAACTGCACAAGTAAACAAAAAACCCAAAAAAATTTTAAAAAGCTACTCAAAATAATATACAATATATGTAAAAATCGGGGCAAGTATTGCCTATGATCGGATTGATGAGTGTAAAGAATCTACACATCGCATGATCAGACATGGTCTGTAGACCACCTACACACAAAATTTTGGGTAAAGTCAACTGTACCAGAGCACTGAAATGTCTATCACAAACCTCCCTTGCCCTATATTTTAAAGCAGTAGATGAACTTTCAGCAACCTTAATGCACCCCATCCAGAACAATGAAGAACTATAATGGCATCCTTTTGACTGTAACATTCATGTTAAAACAGTATATTTGAAATAGCCTCTTATCAGAATGTGAAAAAGGGCTTTTTTCCAAAGGAATTTGACACCACTGAACATGGCCTGAAGTGTTGGGTAGGTTAAGGGTATTTCACACTTCAAAAAATAGTGAAGAAAAAAATTCCTACAAATAAATTATTTTACTGACAACACAAATTATTTTAAAGGTTGTCACTGCCTGTGTGAGACAGAAACACTTGAATATGGGATGCATATGTGCAACTAATTGCCAGACAGCATGGTAAGATGGATTCAAAAGATAATGCAATTTCATCCACTGTAATTGAACCATTGTACTAGAGAGGATGGCACGCACCTCTGGATGAATGTGGATTAACATGTGGCTCAATTCCACATGCCCAACTGTCACCGTAACTTGGTAGTAACTGGTGCACAACACAAAACCGAATATTGTACAAGACAGGATGTGAACTGTGTTTGACCCAGTACTGTTGTGGAAAAATCTCACTAATTTTCTTTTTCAAATATTAAGGAGGCATGACAAAATGGAGCAAATAGATTTAGCTGATATTGTACCAGCACAAATAACTGTAACTGGATTACAGCAATGTTGGACAGACACCAAAAATAAATGCTGAGAATAGTTTGCTTCAGGCAAAAATGTGCATATGGAAAAGAAAAAGTGCATATGGGAAACAAAAATTATTAATAGACTTCTGAAAGGGAAGCTAGAATCATGGGCAAAGATGATTTAGATGTAGTAACAGATTTTTCCCTCCAACCAAGTTTGCATTGTTATGCAACCATAAAAAAACACAGAATAAAAGAAGAGTAATAAACGTGGACTGGACCAATGTATTAGAGATCCTAAATTTCTATAAATACTTTTCTTGAAGGAAAAAATAACATGAACAATTACTAACACAATAGCAAAACTACTGAAATAAGTCAAAAGCAATCTCTTTGCAAGTTTTTTGTTTGGTCACTGAGATGCAATCTTGTATAGAAATAATATTCTCAGTGGTGACATGGGCTAGAAGGAATGGTTATGATTAGTCCAAGATTAGGCCAGGAGCCAATTTATCTGGCATAAGTCATTGTTATCATAGCGCACCCAGGAAATCTTGGAAAAATAATTTGATTTCTATAACTGTTCATATGCAAAATGAAAAAAAAACCAAAAACACAAAAAGAACAATGCTTCATTCTAGAAAACCAGAATGTAAGAGGTGGGGAAAGACACAGCTGAAATAAAACAACTCAGCTTCTGTTTCAGGTCTGTCTACTCCTCTCTTCTTCTTGGTATTCAAGGCAAGAAACATGCAGGAGTACAACACCAAAAATAAAACAGCAGAGGAAGAAAAATATAATAAAAGACAACTATTATAAAAATTCACCATTAAGGAAATGTCATTCGAAATCTATTAGTGATTTTAAAGAGTAATATTTTGCTTACTTTAAAAAAAAAAAGTATGATCCCCATATCCTTTACACAACAGGATGACTCTCAGTTTTAGAAGTTTTGCAGAAAAATACCAGCACAGCACTGAGACACAGCTGCCTGCACAACGTATCTGTGTGCATGATCAAGGGCATGTTCTTTTCATTTTTATCAGAGGCTAGAAAAGCTTAAGGAGCTACAAACACAAACATATCAATTTTCAGTGTTAGCTGAATGTCCTAGGGTTAACATAAGGACAATCATTTAGAAATCAAGATCCAATGAAAAAGAAAAATGACAAGCATTTGGAAGGAAACTATATCAAGAGAAGAAAACAACCCTCAGCTGGGAATATTAAGTCACAGTCAATCATGTCAAAGCTGGTGGAGAACAGCACAGCAGGTTTACCAATTTCAGATCCAAGTGAACCAAAGAGTCATAAAATTTCAGTGGCGTGAAATACAAGCGCATTTCCATGCCAATACAGGAACTTCCCTTACTGGACCTGCTATTTTCAGGTAGAGTTGTTGTGCTGGATTCAGCTGGAGTAGACGTAATTTTCTTCACAGTGGCTGGTATGGGGCTGTGTTTTGGATTTGTGCTGAACACAGGGTTGATAATTTAGAGACATTTTTGTTATTGCTGAGCAGGGCTTACACAGAGCCAAGGCCTTTTCTCCTCCTCGTATTGCCACAATAGCAAGGGGGCTGGGGATGCACCTATTTACAACAGGTGGTTTTTGATTTAGAAAAAGAAATTCAACCATGCCAGGTCTCCATT